TTTCCATTTAACTTTCAAGGACGCGAACAAATGGCTGTGGAAAGTTCTACCGCAGGGTTTGAGACGGGCAGCTAGCAGTAATTCCTTCCTCAAAGCCCCCATCCACACCAGTACCCTGATTTAGAGGAGAACTGAAATCCTGAAAATCCAAGCAGAAAAGTTTATGCTGAACTGGTTTGCTGGCGGGAATGGAAAATGTGTCCACATGGCAATTACAAGGCTATATTTGAAATGATTACAGCTCCTAAATGTACGCTTTCCCTCAAAGTCACCAAGCAACTCCAGTTCCCATCCAAACTTCTAGAGCGAACGATGAATTCATCGCTCAGACCAGACCTTGCCAGCCAGATTCCAGCTCTCCCGGGACCACAAAAGTCCCGAGGACGGAGATCAGGAATTAGTCCAGACCTTGCTTGCGTTTGCCGCTCGGGCTATGGCATCTGACCGAGCTGAAGACAGAAGCTGGATGTTAGCAGAGCTTTTCTCAGGCAGAGCCACATCCTCCTGTGCGGGAAGAGGTTTCGGTGTTTCCATCATGCTGGCACCTCGGGGTACGCTGACCTCGGTTAGAAACCTAACTAACAGATTTGAGGAACCCGGCTGACAACCTCCTACAGCCTTCCGTTATCCCTAGGCTGTGAGGACCGCTTTAATGCCTTCACCACTTTGTTTGTAACTGAAGGTGACGGAGCACCAGGAATAATTTTGAAAATTTTCATACACCAGAACCTCCTGTTACGTGAGGCCACGGATTCAGCCCTAATAAAGCTTTCCTCTCCTCCTCCTAACCCCTCTACGTGAGCTTACGGATCTTCCTCCTTTGCACTTCCCTCCGCTGATGCCGGAGCTCAGACCCTGGGGCGCGTGTTGACAGCCGAGGAACGGAAGCGCCGTAACTCTGGTAGTGACTTTTGACAGGTATTAATTACTTCAACCTCGCACCAGACCACGGGAATCGGTACGAGTACACAAGGAAGACGACTGAAATATCACGCATAGCAAAAAGACACTGAACTGATATCCAAAGGCTTCCACGCTCCTGAGACGCACGGCACAAGTTGTTAAATTACTCTGGCACTGCTCCTGCTTTCCTTACAGGTTGTCACGTTTAATATTGAAAAATCTAGCTTGTTAAATTCAGGGTCGCTGCTCTTTTATTTTTTTCAGTCTACACGTGGCTCTAAGCTCTGCTAAATCCTGAGTGTTAGAAACCATTAACGCCCATTCCCCCTCATCCATCTTCCCTCTCCCACCACCTCCTTCTCCCAGCACCCCTCCATCTTCCCCCCATCTCGCCGTATGCCCTCCTCCGCCCCTGCCTCCTCTTTTCCAAGCCTGTTCACCCTCCAGCCCCCCAAACCTCCACACTCCTCATTTAATTCTCATTTTCTGCACCCCCTTGGGTTACCACAGTGCTCCGGGCTGTTAAAAAACAGCCAGGTGCTGAGCACGGACCTCCCCAACCTTCACCCCTCGCTGGTAGACCCCCAGCAACCTACCGCCCTCCCGAAGAGCTGCCGGGGCCTCGAGCTACGCACACCGTCTTCAATTAAACACCCATCACGCAGCCCTTCTTACAGCCTTCCCCCAGTCCGACCTAGACACGACGTTTTCCCCTTTGTAGGATTTAAATCCAGGTGTTGAATTTGCAATTTGTCTCCGGTAATCCTTCTCTTCTAATTTGCTCGAATTTAGATTAACGCAAAACATTAACAAAAAACATATTATGGTTCATTTAGTTAAAACCATCTCCGAGCCTTTATTTCCAGTGGGAAATTAATCTTCATCCTTCTATTTCACAAGGCTCAAGAGCACAATAGCACAGCCGAAAATAGCAGCTCCCACAGAAGAACATTTCCATGTATTAAGCGGAAAGACAGCTGTAGTTTTAAACCCCACTTTGACAATTGCATTGGCACACGTGTCTTTAGTAATTTTTTTTTTTTAAGAAAACCTCCCCAAGGTGATATTAGTCACGTTCCCGCACGCTCCATGGCCTGTGACATTTTCCTCTGCGGAGAGGTCCAACCTTCGGCTGTTGGGCTTTACTTTAAGGCTGATGCTGTCGTGGTTGGTAAGTCTCAATTTTGACCTATTCACATTCAGTTGGAGCCCTCGCGTAAAAGCATGTTTCCTTCTATGATGCTTCCCTGGTTTTATTAAAAAAAAAATTACATTTGCACCAGAAACCGTCCCGAATAGCCACCAGAAAGGCCGAAGGCATGGAGGAAGCCTTCAGTAAGGACAGTGATATCCTGAACGAGCACAACCCAAAGAATCTTCTGGGGCTGGAGCACCGAGGATCCGCTAGTGTAAACAACCCCTTAGCGAATCTCTAGCAGGGAGAATCTGGGCACTGCGGCCCCGGGGAGGCACCGGGGGGTCCCGGCCGCCGCGGGGCCTGC